AGGCATGCAGATGGTTTTTGCTTTTACTAAAGGGTCACTTTGCTCTGCTCTTAATTTCCTATCAACTCTCTTTGGAAGGCCATGCTGCCTGGGGATGGTTCTTTGTGAAGGGCCACAGAGATGATCAAGAGGCTGAAGCATCTCACACATGAGAAGAATTTTAGAGAGCTCAGGAAGAGAAGGCTCAGGGGACATGGCCCTTGAACAGCCTCTTGTAGTTGACCCTGTCCTGAGTGGGGAGGGCAGAGCAGGTGATCTCCAGAGGTTGATTCTCCTGCAATTCTATGACAGGAGCAAAAATCAGGCAGCCTCAAGGAAGAAAATGTGTGTAGGGGGAATGGGAGGGTGAGTATGCCTATTTTTTTCCCCTGTGATTGATCCATGGAATCATAAGCATTTTCACTTGCCAGACATGTAAATTGATGTAATGTGGACTTTTGTAGCTTTGCCGGTTGGTTCCTCTGTTTACATTCACATAAAAATGTCATCTGCAGGCATTTGCACACCCCGCTTAAATTTGGCAGTGACAGTGTAGTAGAGGCAGCATTATCATGGTTGCCTTAAGGGCCATGCAAGTAGAGGGTGTCATAAAAAGAAGATAGCAGGGCAGCAGAAGAGGGTGAGTAAACACGGTATGTCCAGGTTTTTTGTTTGTTTGTTTGTTTAAGTGGATGCAATTTTCAGGACAAGGAAGGTAGAGGTTATAAAGATATCTCCTCTTAACTACACTTTACCTTGGAATTTATCTTATAATATTGCTAAGTCCAGTTCTGCTGAGAACTGCTTGCACATTTCCCTTAGTTTTTCATGTTAAATTTTTGAAATTTAGCTGTACATTCATTATCACAAAGGAGCCAGCTCTTCTTGMTTCTTTTATATTATTACATAGCTTTGTTGTTTTCCTTCGCATTCAGAGTCCTGGAAGTAAAGAGCTTTTTTGAGTTGCAAAGGGAGTCATGAGTTAAAAAAAAAAAAAATCTATTCAAGTAGGACTGTGCTAGTCTCTCTATGCCAGTTGTTTCTGCCCTAAAGCAACACTGTATTTTTGGCAAAACAAAACAACTCTACCATTAGTAGAGCAAGGCTTCTAATTCTTCTTTCTCTCCTCTTCGGCACTTTCAGGTTACGTTACCAGGGGTATTTTGGCGGTGTAACTGCTCTGACGAGAGAACAGTTTTCCAAGGTGAATGGATTCTCTAACAACTACTGGGGTTGGGGTGGAGAAGATGATGACCTTCGAATCAGGTAAAAGGAAGGCTGGGGGGAAATGYGTATGGGAGGGTTAGGAGTGGGTTTAAACAAACAAGCAAACAAAAAAAGCAACAAACTTGTGTGAATTCAAGCAAGCCTGGAACACAAGATGGAACAGTATGGAACAGTACAGGAGTCTTCAACTCAGCAGCCTTATTGCTGTGGGGACTCTGAGTGTGAGATGCAGTTCTGAGAACAGGTTCCTCTTTGACAAGATTAGGCACAGCTGAAGCCTGGTCCTTCTGTTGAGATCGAGTTTTGGGGTGGTYATGGGGTGTTTCTTGGTATATTTTGAGAGGAGGAAACAACCACAGAACATTCTTGCTTTGGGAATCAGTTAWAACCAAAATAGTAGGATTGAATGTGGAGTAGTTTTTTGTTTTGTTTTTGCAAGAAACACAAATGAATGCAGCTTTAATACTTTGCAAGGGAATGGCAGTGTTTGGTTTGGGGAGGGGAAAGGGGGTTGCATTCACTGACTGTATAATGATTTCCTCTGAACATGGCTTAGATTTTTCTGTTGGTGTTAACATAGTCAGTAACTTGGACCTTATGCAGACTGTGTGTATTTGCCTTATGCCTATTGCTACTGTGGTTAAATCTAGCTTTACAGACCTGGCTGTTGAAGCAGTAGCAAATAGTTTAGTTAGTTTAGCAGGCAAATAAACCAACAGATCATATTTAGTATGTCAATCAATCAGCATACATGCTGATGACCAATAAAAGCTCCATTCTTACTCTGTTCAGTTGCTTAAATATCCAAACAAATGTCTCAGGGACATTTAATGCATACTGTTGGTGTTGTTAAATGATTACATGGGTGAAACGAAGCAGGTAGAAGTAAACAATTTCTGAATGAAAGTTATCCCCATGTCAGTCTAGCCTAACTGATGAGTGTGGGCTGTGCTTCAAGAAATAGAAAAGATCAAAAAATCTAGTAGTAACACAGGTTTTGGTCCCATTACTTCTTTTTTTCTCTTTTTTTTTCCTTTTTTTTCTTTTTCTTTTTTTTTTTCTTTTTAAACTCCAGGCTGCACACAGCAACTTCTCTGTGAGACCATCTTGAGAGTTGCAAGGGATGGCTGGGTCAAATCTTATTCCTCAGCTTCCTGAAAATGCCCCAGGTCATGAGCAAAGATGACGCTGTGGTCGTTTCAAATGTTCGCAAGATGCAGAACCGGCTCTGCAGCAGAGCAGCAGGGTTTCCTGAGGGTAGCTGGGTGTCTAGGGTGTTTTGTAAAAGCGGTGGGAGTCGAGTGATGCTGGCCCGTGCGTGGCACCTGGGAACTTCCCAGCTAGAGGGCACACACTGCACTGCACTTGCCTTACGTCTCTGCCTGCAGGYAGACCTTGGGCTGCACTGTTTGCAGGTTGTGCCAGGGTGAGGGGTTATTAYTGTCAGGAGAGTTTCTTGCAGTTTTTCCCTGCGAAGGCAGCAGATGGCAGCATCCCCTTCTCCATCTGCCAGGAATCAGGGCTAGTGTTGCCTCAGTGCTGAATGAGGCTCCCRCTCTTTTTGGGGCCCCTTCCTAAAATGAGTAGCACAAATAGAATTTGAGAGTGTTTGTTGCCTCCATGTGATAATTTATTGCTGTTCAAAGTCATGGAAAATCTGTGGGAGCCCAGTTTCCCCAACTTTTGCTGATTGCTCTTTTAGGTGCTTTTTCAACTAGCAGAGGCTGAGACATCTAGCAGCAAAATTGTTGTGTTCCATGGATAAGGCCAAAGATCCAATGAAGTGCCTGATATCAGGCACTTTAATCCATGCAGGCGACTCAGTGTTTCCGGGAGCATAATCAAGAGACATTTATTCATGTCAACAAAGGTTAAAAATTACACAGGGGCCTTCAGACCATTAGAGAGAAAGGGACTTGGTTCTTTTGCAGAGGACAGAGCTACTCTCTGTTGGGGCATGACTGTCTTTGAGCTCTATCCCTGAGGCAAAATGGGGCACGGAAGARGTAAAGATGGGGTTCTTATGGTTCTTGATGCTTTGCTTCCACAGCTTCTGTAAGACCCAAGGTCTCCAAATGGTTTTTGTTTGTTTTTTTGTTTGCCTTAACATGTGGCTTACATTCATGTCCTGCTCACTGCACTATTGCTTCTTTTAGGGTTGAGATGCAGAAGATGCGAGTGATGAGGCCGTCGCCTGACGTAGCCCGGTACACAATGATCTTCCACACTCGAGACCAGGGCAACGAAGAAAACAGAGAGAGGCGAGTCGGGGACGGAGTTGCACCTTGCTTTGGCTTAGTAGGGGGCCAAGGGCCAGGGAACTGGTAGCCCAGTCTTCTGGTATTGTCCAAAGGGGCATTCTGTGGTGCCAGAGTCTCTGGGGGGGACAACTGTCACACCACTCCTCACAACTGCCAGCTGGGCGCTATCCGTGACAGCTGCCTGCACATGCTGGGTAATGTTCCTTAAAAACTTCCAATGTTATAGTCACACAGATGTCATTTCAGCATGTGATTCCAGACAGAAAATAGTTTTAAGAAAAACCCAAGCCTCGCAAAACCCGAGAGCTATTCTCCCGTCTGCCTGAGGTTGCACAGTCGCGACAGAAAAAGCAGACCTTGATGTTCCCAGTAGACCCACGATCGCTGTAGCCTCACCGGCATGTTTACTAGTAATGAGGAAGAGCTCAKCCCTCCTGTCACCTTCATTTTAATTCTGTGCAGTTACAAAGATTATTTCTTCTCTGTTCTCAGGATGAAGCTTTTACGCCAAGTCTCTAGAACGTGGAAATCAGATGGGCTGAATTCTTGTTCATATAAGTTGCTCTCAGTGGAACACAACCCCTTGTACATCAACATCACAGTGGATTTCAGCACGCAGCCTCAGACCTCGTAGGGATGCACAGGGCCCAGGCTCTAGGAGAYGGGGACAGACCTGCTGGTGTGGTAGCTGGTACAGCAGCTAAAGCCCAGCATTCTACTTGAACGAGCACTTCAGTAGCACAGAGGAAACTTTTTCTTCACAGCACCTAACTGATTGGTTCAGAATTTCATTTTGTRAGGACTGGAGATGTGGACTGACCTTTAGGGACAGTTCTTGGTGGTGTTCTATGCACTTTCTGCTGGGACACATATAAGTTTCCTTGTTTTGGCTGGTCCAGTGGAAGGACTTGAACTGTGCCCCCTGAAACATTTCTACTCTCACAGCTAAACTTACTGTTTGGTATAGTGGAGAGGCAGCCTATACTGCCCCTGACTTCAAAAGGAGCAGGCCACTTTTTTTCAGTCAAAGCACAAGAATACTTCAGCATCTACAACGTTGCTGAGAAAACCTATTTCTTTTCCAGCCTAGGGAAAAGCTGCTTATGTGTTAGGGGAGGCAATAATGGTAACAGTTGAGGGGATGTTTAAAAATCTCTCAATAAAATGAATCCCATTTAATTCAAAAGGCATCTCTTGTACTTCATAAGCTCAACTCACCATGCAGTGGGAGTGCGCAAGTGTTCTGCAGCAAAATGAAAGGCCATTTAATTCTGCAGTAGGCTACAGGCTCTGTTATTCTGGAGGATCTGTAAGAAAATGCACTGGCTAGCTCTGGGAAAGCTGCTGCTTTTTATTTTATTGTTTTTATTTAATGCTTTATGACTCACTGTTGACACAGTGCATATTCATATGAATATCCATGCCATGACTATTTGTGCTTGTTTTAGAAAATCAGAGATTGATGGAAAACTAACAGTTAGGTATGCCGTAGCATTTCATCAAAACATTTGATGACAGCAGTAATGAAAAACAGCTGTCTTAAGCTTGCAAAATAATTGTGTCTGGTAGGCAGAGCTACTGCCTGCCCTCATAGAGAGTAAGATTACAAGGAGCAAGGTCCTGCAGTCAGGTAAGTGCCTCTCAGGGTCCCATCTCACGTGACTCAGTCTCTGGCATTGCCTTTCTCAGAAGTGGTTATGTTGAAGATAGTTCAAGCTTGACAAATTACAAAGCTCATTGTTTGATCAACAGCTGAAATATTGGATTTATTTCCCTGAACTGAGCAGGCTACACTAGGTAATAAACCTCAGGTCCTTTCCAGCCTGAACTGTTCTATAACTACAGTAAAAACATGTAACTATTGAAGGACTTTGCAAGATGCAGAAATAAGGATGTGACCTCTGTTTTCTTTGAGTTCACGGCAACTTCCTCCCTCATTAGACTCTGAAGTATTCTATAAAATCTCAAACCCAACAGCCTTCTCAGTTTATTTTACTCAAAGTTGCAGAAGATATTTACAGAAATATAACAGGTTTCAATGCCATAACACTGGCTGTGAAATTCTTTTTCAAAATACAACATTGCAGAACAGCTGTGTCCCCAGCAGGACAGCAGTATCTGACATGGCTTGCATCTCATTTACCTTTTCAATAGGCAGCAGGATAGAACTATCCTGCTATGGATCACAGGGTCCTAGAAAACTTAAGTTACCTTCCTCTCAAGGAGATCTTAATCCTCAGGGCCTGAGGTGCATCCAACTCCGTAGGGATTGTTTTTTATAGCACTCTGACAGAGTCTTTATGCAGCAACCCTATCCTATTCACTAGCTGTCGAACCTCCTTCTGAAGTCTTTTCTTCTAAGTCTTGTACACTCTGAAGAGAAGTGAAATACAGGAGACAAAAGGACTAGTCTCATGCGGAGCATGCACTGTAGTACAGGAGGTAGAGGCCCGTGTGCTGCCACAGTAAGCTCAAACTCCCAATTTTCATTTAACTTCCTTAGGAAAATGGAGGAACGTATCCAATGTCCACAGTGATGTTGGTGTAAAGCGGGTGTTTCTTCTTGGAAAGGAGCTTGAACTCTAATGAGTTCATTCCATCATCCTTCCATGTTTTCCTGGTGTTATGCCGGGAAGCAGGCCTGAAGGAGGAACAACACCAGCAGTTAGGAAATGTTTATGTTTGCATGCAGCTGCTGCTTTCACAGAGGTGGGGGAAGAAATGTTGTTTGAGATGGCAAGAGCTTAGCAGATGAATGAAAACTGCTAGTAGAAAAAGCCCAAGAAGATTCTTTTCACGTAATATAGATTAGAGGAGGTAATTCTGTGAGAGAAACTGGACTAACATCACGCTAAGCCTTATAAACAAGAAGCACAATTTGTACTGGAACACAGGAGATGAATGAAGTGCAAAAATAAGAAACTAGTGCCAGCTTAGCAAGACCTGGGTCTACATGAAAGAGGCCGCTGAAGGTAGGTTTAGGACAGGACTGTCACTGAAACCTCTGTCTTAAGATCATGAGAAGGAAGTCTGATGGRTCAATATGAGAAGCCTCCAGTGTCCTTTAACCAGCGCCCTCCTCCAACTCTTTTATGTAAACTAGGTCATTTTAAAGGTCTCTGTGATGCACCTTACTCTTTTCTTCAAGCTAGAGTGTGGTTTCTACTATTTTCAGAGGGGTCATGGTATATCTGCAAGTGATTTTAATACAGTGTAAGTGTTGGACAGAAAAGTATTTTTTATCATATAGAAACTGCATAATACTTTTCAGAATACGCATAACAAAAGGATCTTCAAACTCAATTCTCCCTATTTAAAAGGCAAACTGAGGTGGCACTTGAAAAATTAATGCTCAAGTTTTACACTTCCTGTCAGCTGTCTATCAAAACTACACCTTCCTACCAAGTAGGAAAGAAGGAAGTTAAGGCACCCACTCTTCAAAGGCAGAGACACGAGCAGTGCAGTTCAGTTGCAACACACTTGGCATCTCGTACTAGCTTCTAATATTGTGTGTGTGTTCGGGGAGACTGAAGTCTTGCAAAAGATATAAGGGCTACCGAATGCTGTAATCCAAAATATCAGAAGATGAAATCATGCTTTTAAAATGGAGCATCCTCAAATCTATCAGCAAAAAACAGGGAACTAGCTTTATACAGCAGTACTAAAATAAGCAGTGGCATTTGGGATACTTCCTGCCTTTGAGGAAGATGATGCTTACAGTAACATGGCACTGAGTGGCCATCTAGGTGCCCCCCAGAACAGTTACCTTCTCCAAGGCTCTTGGATCTCTGTCTCTTCCTTGTAGTCCATCACTTTGTAGTGTCCAAGATGAGATGGAGTCCGAACTATTTTCATTCCTGCCAACTGGATCCTTTAAAGCAAAGAATAAAGTGCCTGTGCATAGGGATGTCATGTTGAGGATTAGCTTATAAGCCTGTGGCAGGAATGCTGAGCTAGTTTTGCTGTTTCAATTTTTATATTGCAAGTTTAAACTAATAACCCAATAGGAAACAGTTTTTAAAAAAGGGAATGTTTTATTAAGAACCTCTTTCTATAGTTTGTGTTAACTATATGAAGTGAAGCTACTAAAGTATGTTTTCTTCTAAGAAAAATGTGGATGCTAGTGCTTTCTAAGGCTTAGCTTTAACAACTAATATAGTAGAGAACTGTAATCCTTGCCAATTATAAGTAGCAGCCACTACTTCTTGGTGGGCTAATTTTGCTATAAAAAGCAGCATTCCAACATAAACTCTTTACATAAGACAGGTTTCAATGTCCAATTTCAGATGCCAATTTATTTTTGTTCATCTTCTATAGGAAATGCTTGATTACTTTTTAATATTCAAATCCTAGAAGCTGTTTCATGGTGGCTATTCAAAAACAGACAACTCAGTTCCTGACTTTGGAAAGTTGTATAAGTCATTAGCAGTCACTGCCCCTGAGCTCTAGGTACCTATGAACCATAGTACTGCTAATCCTTGGCCTAATTTTTTCACAGAACAACACAGACTTGCCTCCTTTCAGGAAAGGACTAGTTTGTGATCTATATAACCTATTTACCTTGAGTGATTTCTGTAAGGAAGTGCCCTCTTGCATATAATTTGTATGACTTTTCACCACTAGTGCTTGAAAGCCACACTAAATGCCTAAGCTCTACTGAGAGAAGAGCTGAGTAGACTCAGCATTCTAGTGCTTAATTTAAAGGTCTGTTTTCCTGGCATTCCATTCCTCAGTAAATGCTGACTCGCTAAAAAAATTGTATACGCTTTTAGTTAGCTTTATTTGAAAGGAAAAGGCGAAATTACATGTTAGAAAACCTGACTTTCAATTCCCCAAAGAATACTGCTTTGTACAAACTCCCACAGTCCTTGAACAAAACATTCCACTGAAATTGTATAACTTGTCACACTGTACAAGACCAAAAGGAAAAAAAAAAAAAAAAAAAAAAGAGCCTTTGTTTTTTCTTTTTTTTTTCAATTGTTTTTACCTTCTAGTGATAATGCAATTCACATACACTGCACTAAAACTTAAGGATGACTACACTAACTTATGGATGACTCTTAAAAAGTTTTTGCCTTGATGAAATARTGTATAATCAGGTGCATATTTCATGTATTTGCCTCAATTACCAAAAATCACAAATTCTCTACATTTTACATTTAGTCTCNAAAAAAAAAAAAAAAAAAAAGAGCCTTTGTTGTCAATTTATAAGTCCCCAAGAGCATGCCTCAGTACAGGATGATAAAGTTTCACTCTGGATGAAATGTTGCAATGGAGCTGAATAAAGATGCAGCCATGATTTTGTATGCAGACTCTGCATTATGCAGAGTACCTGGAAGTAAAGTCATCAAATTCACTTCTAGAGCGTGCTGGTGCCATAGCAACAAAGGCAGAAGAAAAAAGATATTTTGTTTTTTTGCTGTCACTGACTCATAATAGTACTCAGACCTCTGCATCATCTAATGCTGAAGATGTAATTTCTTATGTTCCTTAATTTCAAGTACTACTGAGTTGATAGTATTTACAGCACTGTGTATACACAATGTAGCTTAAATTCCCAATTGTTTGGGAATTAAGTACCCGTTTTACTACCTTTTCTCATTTGTCAAGCTTGTCATTCCTTCCTTTGGGGGCTCTTGATGTCAATGAAGTTACTTGTCAATCAGTGGTTTTAACCCCTTGGAAACTCCCCAGAGCAGCTGAAGGCACAAGGTTGTGGATTAGCATTCTCTGTCACCCAGGCTCTGAAGGAAGTTTTCTCTTCCCAGTGTACAGTAATTAGATTCATGCTGCCTAAGCCTTTTCTGACCCCAATCAATCCAAATGGCACCTGAATTGCAGTGCTTCTGCGAGCGTGTTCCTTCTTTGGGCAATACTACATGTTTCACTAGCTCCTTTGCTTGTGTTATAAGATTCCATGTCCTGTGCATCAATACCTTATAGCAATGTCGTCATTTTCACCATCGTCGCCCCAGTATGTGTTTGGGAACCCGTTCATCTTCATATAATGCTCTGGAGTCAAAGCAGATACACCCCCAAAAAAAGACTTATATGGCAGACTAAAGGAGGGAGAAAAAAAAAAAAAAAAAAGAACAGAAAGCATCAAGTCTGAATGTTATTCTTCACAAACAACCTAACAACATCATTCATGTTAACATGCATATTAATCTTGTTTTACAGACCTTTTTTCTTTAAAAATAAAAAGTAGATGTGAAGTGGCAAGTTATAGTAAGTCCAAGAAAAAGTACTCAAAAGAAAGCTCTAAGCCTTGAATTAAGACATTTCTATTGTAATGCCAAAACCCAAATAGCAAATTCAGTACAAAGATGGTTTTAAAATTAGCAACTAATTAGTTCCAGATATCTATCATATCACTCATATTCTGTGTGGTCTGATAATTCACATCCTATACATTTTGGGAGGAAAAGCAAACAGAAAAGTGTGCCAGCAAGCACCAGGCTAGTAATAGGATCATTTGCCAGCCTGAGCTAACAGTAAAATAAGGAACTTCAGGCAACTGTTCAAGATTGCGACCTTAAGTATATCTTTTTCTGGTGAAATCATTAGTACAAAATTAAACAAAAACCTACTCTTGGAAGCCATGTTTTTCTCTTATCCCTGTTCATACTGTCTGAATGCTGAAAGGGAACCAGTTAGAACACACACATCCCAGACAAACGCAGGCACTTACTTGTACTGAAACTTGTCCATGGCACTGGCCATATGCTTGGGATAGTATTCATCACAGATATAGAGATTATAATCATTTTCAGGTATTAGGTCCACATCATGCAGGAGAAGGCAGTCCCAGTCTTCATCCTTCATGGCCTCGCGGACACCAACATTAAGCAGTTTTGCTCGGTTAAAGGTACCATTCCCCACCTGGAAAGGAAAACTTGCACATGGTAAAGACACCAAGTCCATTAAAATTGATGGTGCAAAAACTTTTAGTCAGCTGAGTGACACTGCAGTGACTCAGCTTTGGCCGCAAAAATCATATCACGGACAGAATATTTTATCCACTCTCTTCGCAATATTCTCATTAATCATTGCAAGTTTTACGGCATCAGGGATTATATCCTGCAAGCACAAAAAGGCAGCCAACGTTTAAGCCAGCAGTAAGTCAATTCTTAGGTCTAAATCTGCACATCAACACTTTTGACCTAATTGTTGATTATTAGTGCTGGGAACTGGGAAAACATTTGATCACGAAAAAGTTCCCCTCCTTCCCAGTCTGCTCTCAGATTTCTTTAATGAGCCCCAAGCTTCCCTGTTTCTGTCAGTAAGTAATAGGTGCTTGAGCTACACAGGTTATCCCATAGCAAAGTCAAGTCAGATTTTTATTTGATACAGAACACTAAATAAAGATCTCCAGCTTCCATCTTAGTATTTACTCTCACCAGTTTATTCAGCAGCTATACTGACAGGCTACAGCCAAACCACATTTCAACTCTCCCAAAAGCTGAAAAGAAAAGTTACTATTAAAGATAGTTCTATCCTTTTGGTAGGGAAAAAAATCAATAGCAGAGTGCTGATAAGCAAGTGCTAAAATACTCCAATCATTAGCAGCTCTGGAGATAAAGCAGGATGTAACTGATCTGCCCTCAACCCACCCATAAGGTCTTACTTCCCCATTAGAAGATTTCCACTTCTCATTCAGACTCTGAGCCCCCTGAGCATAAAGCTTGGTTGCATCACCAGACACATCCAATTAGATTTACCTGCTGAATCAAGTAGATGCTGTAACTGAGCTGCTGGCGCTGCAAGAAAGGATGAAGATAGTAAAGGAAGTGGCGGAGGTATCTCTCCTGGCCCCTGTACGCTACAAGGATGGCTGATTTGTAGCGGGCCAAGCAGTGAGGGGGTCTGTAGCGGCCTCCAGAGTGGACAAGGGGATTTTTTTGGATAATCATTCTCTCACTGGGCAGCACCCTGAAGGTGATGGTTAACGGACCAACTGCAAGAACAGAGACAAAAACACAGACAAAACCAAGGTCAGTGATGTTTCTCAACTGTCATGCAAGCCAGTCAGTTGCAGGTATATGTTTTCTGAAAGAATTTTCAGCAAACTTGGGGAAAAATAGCTTAAAGCCTCAAGGATTACAAATGCTTTGCAAATGCTTTGGGAAAGGTTAGCTTTTGTAAAGGAAGCTTTTTTTTAAGAAAAGTTTCAAGGTAAACGCAGTTAKGGTAGCCTGCCATACAGGTTGTATTCACTACATTATTTAGTTATTTAGTTATATACACTATATTCACTATAATTTAGTTACTAGTTATAAAACCTCACTTTGTAACAATATGAATAAACACAGCAAATTCTACAATTGCTCAAATGCATATGTAGTCTATCCTTCTGGCAAGTGAGAAGAAGTTCCAAAATCAGCAGAAGAGTCATATAAATGCAAATCATTGTGTTTTAATGGTTTTCTACCACTGGCAACCTCTCTTAAGAAAACAAAGTACAAATGCAGAACAAGATTAAAATCTATTACTTGGAAGAACTAGCAAGAAACCTTCACTTAAATCACAGTTAAAAGCTAGCAATTTCAAACTAAAGCTTTACATAGCTTCAGCCATTCCCTGCAAGCTATGTTACCCAAAGACAAAGTATTT